TCTCCCTTCATCCACTTTTCGGTTGTCTGTCCCCCAGGGAGGAGGTTATACACAGTTCCATGTAATCGGTTCTCTCTTTCCTACCCATTCTTCCTTTATAATTGTGCCTTCTTAATGGTAATACAAAATATAAAGTTTAGATGACTTCAGATTTTAAAACAGAATGCCTTTTACTGTCAGTGGTTTGTTAAAGGCATGGCTTTGTAATAAAAACTTGTTTATTTAAGGATGGTGTTTATATAAGGATGTTTTCTGCAGACCTGCTAAGGGAGTAATTGGTTAGTTTAAAATATCCGTGAACAAAGCATTTAAAAATATTTGCTACTTGTCAAAGTGGGTGTCACATTTAAATTGACTTTATTTTAGAAATAGTTGATCCTATTAAATGCATCGGAATCGTTGGGTGGCGAAACAGGTAAACATTCGGCTACTTGATGGTCCGAACCTAACTAGGGGTGTCTCAAAAGACAAGCCTGGTTATCTGCTTCTAAAAGGTCACAACTAAATGCTTTTGTAGTGACGGGTGCCATGGTGGGTGGCATTAGGCTGCCAACTGCAAGGTCAGAGGTTCAAACCTTGTAAGAGAAAATCACTCTGCAGAAGAAAGATGAGGCTGTTTGCTCTTGGAAACACAGACTCAGAAACCCTAGGGAGTAGTTGTACTGTGTCCTATAGGATTGCTTAGCGTCAGATTCAAGTTCATGACAGTGGGTTTTGTTTTGTTGGTGGTGGTGTTCATTGTTTTATAGCATGTTTATAGTTTAGTATGCTTTAAATTATCTACTGTATAGTGTCAGTTATTTTTAAAAACCCAAAATGTTCTATAAGACATAATAATGTAAAAAAAGATTATAAAATATATAAATGTCAGATTCTTCTGTAAGACATGAAATGATCCCAAATTCATTTTATTCCACTCAGAAGCAACTGGATTTATTTTATGTGTATTTTCTGAAACTTATCACTATTTTCTTCAATATCATGCTTAAATTGCCGTTTATGCTAGTGTGTATGTGTGTCTTCTGTAAAATGCAGATGGTAATTTCTCTCATAAATCACTTATAGTACTAAATATGAATAGTTTCAAAGTATCTGGGATGTACTTTCTATATAGTATAAGTTTATGCTGGCTACCACTCTCCTACTTATTTTCCTTATTAAAATATTTGAAAAGTGAGGTTCAAGTATGCGCTCTAGTTCTGACACTAATAATAGAAGTACGATGTGAGCTGATTACAAAGCTCCTGTCTTCCCACTACTTGATACTCTTTACCTAAGGCAAATGGTTCAGGGCTGGCAATGCTGGTCTTCTGTGCAGTTCTGGTTTCTAACACATTTTTATGTTACCTTCACAAAGGCAAGATACTGTATGCTATTTTTTCTGCCTATTCATTGAAGTTTTTAAAAAATTCATTCTGAAACAGCAGAGACACCAAGAACTAGACTAAAATTATCTCTCCAATAATAGTTTTTTTTGGAGGGGGTCCTACATTTAGGGGACTGTTTAGGTTAGTTTTTTGGGTAATGGGCTTTTTGAGAACTATTAAAATAAAAAAATTGAAAATGACTTTCCAATCCCTTTTGGTGTTTTAACAGTTTTATTATGAAAGCTTTTCCTTTGTATGACTCTGAGGAAATCATTCTATATTCATGAATAGGAAATTAAAACTCAGTAGGTAACTCTTTTTGCATCTCAGTTTTGGATTTGAATAAATGGCTTTATTATTCATTTCCTAATAGACTTGCTTCCTATAATTCATCCTGTTAGTCAAGCATTTATTAAGCTTATAGGAAGCACTTGACACAAGATCAACATTTACCAAAATGTGCGTTTTTTAGGGTAAAAATTAAGCACAGGGAATTTTGAGTTAAATGAAGTTATATAAATATGTTGTTATTGAATAACATTTGAGAATTGTTAATATGCTAATGTGCATTGTAAGCTCTCCCATTAAAAAAAAAATCTCCCATAAAGACAAGTGGAAGCATTTTTATGTGTCCCTCCCCTTCATTCTGTCCAGAATTGCATATCGGAAAAACGAATTTGGGGAATTTATTTGACTGTAAACACTTAGGAATGACTTAGAGTGAGTTTTTGATTCAATAGGGAAATTAAGGACAAATGGCAAAGTAGCATACAATTAGATTGTGCTGAGCAGAGAGCTTCCAGAAATCAATAAAAAGGAACAGGGATTACGTAGAAGGTCTTATTAAAAGGTAGTTCTCAAACTTCTCAGTTTCTTGATTCCTTCATTTGGGGGACCAGCCTCCACACCTGAATGGGGGAACAATCAATGATCCTTATCAGAAGGGAGTGGGCCCTACTTAGGGTGAGGCGGATAATAGGGTCTGATTGCTCTCATGGCAGACAACCTTCAGGCAGACAGCCTTCCAGTAGTTAACCTTCAAGCACATGTAGTAGCAACCATGTGCTTCCAAGCAGCACCTTAAAAATGGCATTATTATGGGAGACATTGTGGGGAACAGCTTTAGTTCGGAGAATGTAACTGGGCTGCATCTCCACCTTGCAAACATAAAGGCCTCCCTCCAGGAGAATCCTAAGCATAGAGAATTTATCTGCATACACTCTTCCCAGTTCTTAGTTTTCCACACTTAAACTCTTAAAGTTGAAGACCAGAGAATATTTTGTTTATGTGCACTACAGCTAGTTAGTGCTTTAGAATTTAAAACAGAAAATTAAAAAATATTTAATAGAATAAATGAAAATATAACCTTTTGGAAAAATGACTTTTCTAAAAGAAAACATTTGTGTGTGTGTGTGAGAAGAGTGACATTTTCTGATTTTCAAATATCAAATGTGGCTTAAAAAATATAGCTCAAATCCTGTATCTGCTTTTGCATTCGATTTGAATTCTGTGAAACCTGTCAAATAGCCTATGGGAAAGTCTACTGTACACACATGAGAGAATGAATGAAAGTGAAAAAAGCAAATGAACCTTACATTATTAAAATAGTTTGACCCTTGAAGAAAGTCTTAAGGATCTAGGAGTCTCTGGACTGTACTTGTTCAATCTCTGCTGTTAACAGTGAATCGGTTAACTAGATCACTATGTAAAAGCTCACGCTTGGGATTCAGATTTCCTAGCTTGGAATGGTAACTTTTTTTTGGATGCTATTATCCTTGCTGTTTCTTAATTTTTTTCAATGGAACCACTGTTAAGACCTATTTTATAGGGTCGTTAGTATTGAATACAATTACACACATATAGAATAAGCACTTAAAATGCCAGCTTTCATTATCATTTCACAATTTTAAGTCCTCTTATGTCACTCTTCAGAAATTGTTAGTGATATCCCAATTCGCTTGAGGGTGAAAACCAAAATGGTCACAATGGTTTACTCAGCCCTTTCTTCATCCTCTGAAATTTTATTACCTTTCTATGATAGCGTCTCTCGTTTCTTACTTGCTCAGACCTCAGTTCTTCCATCCTCTGTGCAAACCGTTCCCCTGGCTGTGTACGGTCTGCCATATAACTTCAACAGCAAGTACAATGAAGCTTCAAAAAGCCCATAAAAATATTAAAATAAAAATATGGAGAGTCTCTTCTATGCTCTTTCTCAGGCCTTTGTATCTACTGTTTTTTCTGCCTAATATGCATTTATGCAGAAATTAGAATATTTTGCCCCAGCCAACTTTAGGTTTTTGCTCTAGTGGCACCTCAATGTAAACTTTGCTGCATCTGTTTTTCATTCATTTACACTCCTTTATACACATGTATAAAGAGTTCAAGTGACACAGTTGCTAAGTGCTTGGTTACAAATCAAAAGTCAGTAGTTCAAACCCACCATGCTCAGTGGAAGAAAGATGTGGCTGTCTGTCTGTAAAGATGGCACCTCTGGAAACCCAGAATTGGAGCAGTGCTACAGAGTTGGTATGGATTGGAACGGGCTCTGTGGTAGAGTAGTCCATTTACTTACCGTATCCTTATCGCTCATCTATGCTTATTATTGTTCTCTATAGCATTTTTGGGCTCAAACATAAGAACAATTGTGAGGATGGTATAGGACCCGCTGGTGTTTTGTTCTGTTGTACTTAAGGACGCTGTCAACTACAAAAGGGAATCAACTGACAATGTAGCCTGATGACAATGTAGCCTTTCTTTTTCCTTTTTAAAACATACTAAGTAACTCCATTAGAAATTAAGCTCCACAGAGATGGGCATAATTAGAAAATACATATTTTTTTCTTGTTTTGGTCTATCTTGTTCAATATTGTATCCATAATACCTGGAATAGACACTTGCTTCATATTTAATTGAGAATTAATGTTAACAAAGGTGAAGTAAAAAGTAGTCTCTCTACAAAGAACAGGAGCAGACATTGTAGATAGAAATGACCCAAGTAAAGGAAAACTGGAACTATAGGTTAGGGACTCAGGTAGATGCTGTTTAGAGGACGCTGGAACAATAAGTTTGGAACCATGCTGTAGAGGACATTTCGAGCGAGTCATTTAAAGTTTACTAGGCCGAGGGGCCCTGATGAGTGTTGTAGGCTTGGAAGATGAGTACAATAGGAATCTGTGAGGTTGACTTAACCTTGCTCTGGTATAAGCTTAACCAGAAATTGATATTTAGTAAATTTATGATAAATAATAAAGTAACACAGGTTTTCAAAAACTATAAACTATTTCACTAATTAATGACTTCCTTTCAGACTGTGTGGTAGTGTGAAATTATTATTTGATCAGTTACGTACTTTGCATTGTGTAATTGCCAAGCTTTACATACCTTTTCCCACTTCAAGTTAATGAGCTATGAGAGTTAAAATAAACCAGGGTGCTTATATTGGTGACTAACCTACAAATATACTACTACAGGTCAAGCTATGTTTAGTCCAGCGAATATTGGCCAGCCACGAAAGACTACATTATCTCCTGCCCAGCTGGATCCCTTTTATACTCAAGGAGATTCTTTGACATCAGAAGATCACCTCGATGACACTTGGGTGACTGTGTTTGGGTAAGATTCTATCATTTACCCTTTTCAAAAAGTTCTGCCCCAGCATTTTATAATAAATATTATCAAGCATACAGAAAAGTTGGGAGTTGTAGACAGCAAATACCACGTACCTACCATCTTGATTTTGCAGGTAGCAGTTTGCTCTGTTTGCATTTTTCTTTTTGTTTGGATACATTTCAGAGTAAGTTGTAGACATTAATACATATCACCCTGACTTCTTAACATGCATATCATTACCGAGAGCTGCCTTTTTTTTTCTCAATAGTTTTTCATTATTTATACTTACCTCTTTCCACATTCTTTTCTCTGCTGCATAGTTGCTTGATGTTTACTCAGAGTTGCCCCTTTAAAACTTAGGACACCCTTCACCTCTTTTTAATGGCTATTTCTCTACTTCCAGTGAACATGTGAACTAATTTATTCAAATTCTTTGTTTCAGTACCTAACAGCTTTGGTGCCTTTAGTCACACAACCTTGAATATTAACAAGATAATATTGGATGTTAGTAGAAACAGAGGGTGGCATAGATGCACCTTGATTAGAATTTTAGGTCCAAAAGTGTTTTCAGGTGCCTTAGAGATTTTTTTTTCTATCCTCTTTCATTTTATGCATGGGAAAACTGAGTTATAGACAAGATTAGTTACACTACATAAGGCTTCTTTATTTTTAAAAACTGTTTACAGTAAATTGGATACGAGCTTACATTTCAGATCATCATTTTTGTGTTCAGCAACTTAAACTACTTCTCACATCTTCCAAAAGCTTGTACTGCGCCCCGTTGTGGTTTGTCCTCTTCTCCACATGAGGCTGGCTTCTGAAAATAATTTTCCATATCGATACTGGCCCTTACTATATTTTTTCCTTAAACATTAGCACAAAAATGTTTCAAAGGAAAAAAATGCGCCATAAGGGTTACTGAAATTTATTTAAAATTTTAATAACTCAAAATGTATACAAAAACCATGTATGTAGTGAAAACTCATCCTTATTTTTGTCCCATTCTATAATTTTCTCTACGCAGCTTATTTTTTATTGCTTATTATTCTTATTGATAACTTATTGCTATTTATTTTCAGTGTATCTTTCTTGATTCTGTGTGTGATTCCACTTTGGTAAAACGCAGGCTCTCATTACATTTTCTGTTCTAAAGAAAGCTCACATTCAGCTCTATTATTTACCTTACCATATATGCTCGAGTATAAGCCGACCCGAAAATTTCAAACTGAAATATTTTGAAATTTTTAATTTGAAAAAATTTCAAAGTATTTTAGTTTGAAATTTTTGGGTCGGCTTATACTCGAGTATATATGGTATGCCCATTACGTTGGCTTCATGATTTCCTTTTTCTTTCTTTTAAAAAAAAATCATTTTATTAGGGGCTCATACAACTCTTATCACAATCCATACATACATCAGTTGTGTAAAGCACATTTGTACATTCATTGCCCTCATCATTCTCAAAACATTTGCTTTCCACTTAAGTCCCTGGTGTCAATTTCTCATTTTCCCCCATCTGTCCTTTTTCTTTGTTGTTTAGATCATTTTACCCACTTATGAAATGACAGTGTTTAAACTTGGATGTCTACCTCCATGTATGTTTCTTTTTCAGGTGTAGTAATCATTCCATGAGTGATCAGATAAGTTACTTTGAAGTATTTTTGCTAATCCCTTCATTTAAAAACCTTACTACTAATATTTATATTTTGGTACTTTTAAGTTTTAGGAACACTTTGGTGGTGTAGTGGGTTATGAGTTGAGCTGTTAATCACAAAGTCATCAGTTCAAACCCACCAGCCACTCAGTGGAAGAAAGATAAGACTTTTTACTCACATAAAGATTTATAGTCTCAGAAACCTGCAGGGGCAAATTGTATTCTGCCCTATAGAGTATGTGTTTAATGCATTATATTGCAATAAAGTGATACTGAGTATAAAGATATGTTTATAGCTGAAGGGTTTTTTTTGGCCTTTTAATAAACATAGCATAATAGTTATTTATGATAACATTCTCTCACATACACACAAACACACATACTTCACCTACACTCACAGACACAACTGTATAGCTTATATATAAAATGTCATCATCATAACTTTTCTATGAGCTGTAAAACTAATATTGAACTTTTTAAGATTTCAGGGGTAGAACCTAGAGGTGGAGAATAGCTGAATAAAAACTAATTTTAAGGTATTTGCTTTTGGGTGCTTAACCAGGCAATAGTGTTAGCTGGTTTAGAGGAAACAGAATGATCAGGGATCATCACCTATTAATGTTCTGCACATTTGAGGACAGTTTATCTTTAAACACTTGTAAATGTGCTAATCTGCATTCTTATTGTGGGAATTGACTATTTGGACAACTCTTTTACAGGTTTCCTCAAGCATCTGCTTCCTACATACTATTGCAATTTGCACAATACGGGAATATATTAAAACATGTGGTAAGTACGGTTTAATTTTTATTCAGTGTATGAATTAGAATGAGGGAAAGATAAGCTGTGAATTAGGGTAATTTTGCGTCTTAATGCTTGTTGTCTTTTTTAATGTAAAGAGTTAATATTCTTTCTTTTTATGTGCTGATAGAGTGTTTTCCTTGGGAGGCTGCAAGTAGAAGCACAAGATAAGCCAGAGACTGCGTTTCAGTCTCACTGCTTTTTCTGAAGTAGTCTAGTTTCACAATGAAAGGTGGATTATGCCAGATATTACAGTACTGTTTTCTAGATTGAGCTCATTTTATTGAGGATATAGGGTAAGTTTCTTAGGTTACAGAGATTTTTAGACTTTTTTTTTAACTTAAAAAATTAACTTGCCCTGCACAATAACTCACAAATAATAAACTCTTTTTCTGTTAATATTTATTTACTTAACTCTTACACAAAATCATATTGATGAATATAGTTTTTATAAAACCCATCACAGCAGGCGCTGACATATTTTGACAAGAATCTATTGTCTTTTAATGTTTTCCATCTTTTTTATTCTAATGGAGTGATAGAGATTATTGAAATATTTTACATAGGAATATTGTTGAACCCTATTATTCAATTTGTTTTAGGATTCCAAATAAAAAGTAGATTAATAGTCATATACTTAAGTTTTATGATGGGAATTCATGATGTGCAAATTTTATGTATTTTAAGATACTTATGTATATTCTTTGCAGATGTCTAATACAGGAAATTGGATGCATATTCGTTATCAGTCTAAACTACAAGCTCGAAAAGCCTTAAGTAAAGATGGGAGGATTTTTGGAGAGTCCATCATGATCGGTGTAAAACCATGTATAGATAAAGTAAGTTATTGCTGATAATAAGGGGAGTAGCTTAATTTGAACTTGGCGGTCAACTCTGAACCCTGTTTTTCAGGCTCTGTAGTAATGGTGTCATGTTACAAGATTGTACAAGTCATTAAAGTATTTTTGCCTAGTGTCTTTCTTAATTTTAAAATCATATTGCTTTCCCATTCATTTTGTGTTTTAGTAACCCTTTATATGAGCTTCTTTGCAAGAATTGAAGGCACGAAACCTTTTATTTTTATCATTTATAGGAAATGTCAGAATCTTCATGTGACACTCAGTGTATTAAGGATAAAACCAAACCAAACCTATTATTATTGAGTCGATTCCTAGCCATAGGGACACTATAGCACTAAGTTGAACTGCTACTTAGGATTTCTGACACCACAGAGTGATGGTTTTAAACTGCTTTCCTTGCTGCCCAATACTTACTGTACAATGACACCAAACCAAAAATCAAACTGACTGCCATGGAGTTTTTGTTGACTCATGTGTACCCTGTAGGTGCTGGATAATTTAATATAGAGTAGAAGTTCACATGGATTTAAATGATCATATCAGAAGTATTGAAATTAATGGTTTTGTCACTTTGCTTCACTGAGCTTCCTTTTTGATGGTAAAATGTGCTGATATTTATAGTATGCTTGGAAAGGATAAGCCAAAGATTGGTAATCACGGGACTTAACAATTTAGAGTCAATCCAGTCCAACCTCTTTGTTTCACAGATAAGTGGACGGGGGTCTAAGGGCTTATGTAACTTGCCCTCTTGGAGGTGAGATCCGGTCTGCATTCTAGCCACTTCTGTTCTTTGAATACTGTAAAGATACTGTCTAAGTGACTGAAATGTTAGTTGTTTTCATTTTAACATTTTAAAAATGCATTTTGTATGTATATCATGAAAAGTATTAAATCATATTTAAACATTTGTCTGTGGCTTGTAAGAGCATCATCAACAATCGTAGAATAACTTCGTATGAATTTCCTTATACTAGGTGCTGTTTTGTACTAGCATGCATGTTAATAAATAAAGAGGATATGGTACCTGTTTTATAATTCATTATTTTATCTGTGTAATTGTTTAATGTGCTGAAAAAGATGTTTGCAGAGGCAGGATTCTTGTATTTGGGTTTACTGGATACTAAATAGGAGCCCTGATGGTGTAGTGGTTCCTTATTGGGCTGCAGTTTCATATAGTCAGTAGTTCAAAAGCAACAGCAGCTTTCTACTCCCTTAAACTGTTAGTCTCAGAAAACCTACACAGGGTTGCTATGCGTCAGCCTTGACTCAATGGCAGTGAGTTCAGCTTGATTTTGGGTACTAAGTAGCATCAGACTCAAATGTTGATCTCTTCCCCAATACTATTTTCTTCCCTTCTTGTCCATAAATATTTGTAAATTGACCCCTTTGTAGGCCCATAGTTGTGTTTAGGAAATTTGAGGTTATTGATGCATGATCGCTGAGTGTTAGATCTCAAATGCTAGCTACCAAAGATACATTATTTTTTTTAAGCATAAAATTACTTGGAAGATTAATTATATCAAGTGTGCCTCTTTTAATAACATTTCATTGTAACTAGGATATAGTATTGGGTCATATGTAATGTGCTTATAAACAGAGGGGTTGTTTAATCTTTGTTTTTCCAGAGTGTAATGGAAAACAGTGAAAGATATGCTTTATCATCTTCATCTCTAGCCTTTACACCACCAATCAAAACCTTAGGTACACCAACGCAAATTGGAAGTACTCCTAGGATTTCTACCATGAGACCTCTTACTACAGCGTATAAAGCTTCTACTAGTGACTATCAGGTATCTTGAAGCACTGAATTAAAAAAATGAAAGTACTTTAATGACTAAAGTCTATATAACATGTTGCACTCTTTTTCATTGGAATGATAAATATGCCATTAAAGATTTCCTTTTGAGTTTATTGTGTTGATGAAACCTTTTAACTCTACACTCTTGAATTTCCTATTTTAAAATTAAAATTTAGTCAATTTGGATATTTTTATATTTGTTAACATAAATTAAACTTATTTTTGCTGAAAATGTACACAACAAAATATATCAATTCAATAGTTTTTACAGGTATAATTTAGTGATATTGTTTACATTCATTAAGTTGTGTAACCATTCCTGCCCTTCTTTTCTGAGCTGTTCCTCCTTCATTAATTTCACTCACCACGCCTGAGTTTTAAATCTTTTGAGTTGCTGTTGTCAGTGATTCCATCCAGGCAGTTCTTAATGATGCTCAAGGAGCACTTGCTTTCACTAGTTAAACTGAGCTATTCAGCTTTCAGATGACTTCAGAGGATATTTTTGGTTTACGGTTTAAAAATTATCTCAGGACAATTGTTTCATCTAACCTCCATTGTTCAGGAAAGTTTAGAGCTCATGATAATTTGACATTCTGCTGTGTAATTTCTGTCTTTTGATCAGAATTCTGTGGATTTTGATTAAACTGATGTGGTTTAGTAGTGGTACCCAGGCACCATCCCTTCTGGTCCCATGGCAAAGGAGGCAGTTTTTCATGGGGTCAACACAACCCTATCCTCTTCCTGTTCATTACTTTACTTCTTCTTCTGTTAATACAGGTGAGTAGAGGTCGTTCATTCTGCCTTGGACGGCTTCTTGGAAGCTTTAAACATTCCAGGCATTACACAAGGGACTGGGGGTAGAACAGAAGTATTAAATATGTTATTAGGCCAGTTAACTATGATGCCCTTGAAATCATCACTCTTAACTCTTCAGGGACCTGAACCCATGAATTAATTTCTTGTACATAAGCAGTGAATGTGTATGTGTGTATGTGTGCTTGCGTGTGTGCATGTTCTTGGTCATTGTAAATACAAAGGGGCTTCCAAAAATTCATGGGAAATTGGAAGTTTCCATGAAGATCTTGAAGCCCTTATATATGTTAGACAGCTTTTTATCAGTGCACAGTTATGATAATCAGCTGTGTAACCATATCCTTAATCTGATTTTTCTATCACCGTTAACCTCCCTTCACAACTCTAACCATTAATAAAATTTGGTCTCTAGATATTTGCCTTTTCTTGTCTACATTGTGTTAGTGCAGTCTACGACATAGTCCTTTTGTGATTGTCTTATTTTGCTCAGCAGAATGTCTTCTAACTAAATCCTAAATGTAGCATATTTCATGACTTTCATTTCTCTTACGAGTTGTATGTATGAACAACATTCCGTTGTATGTATGAACTGTATTCCGTTTGTTCATTTTTATGTTGATGGGCAGCTAGATGGTTTCTAATGTGAATAGTGCCACAGTGAACATTGGTGTACAAGTCTCATTTTCAGGCTCTGCTTCTAATGTATTTCCATATGTACCTAAGAGTGGAATTGCTGGGGCATCTATGGTATCATACTATTTGATTGCTTAATTCACAGATGAAAGTTCTAGTTTTATTGATTGTGTTTCTTTGTTTTAATTTTATTTGTTTATGGTATGATTTTTAGAATTGTCTTCCTTCTGGTAATTGTTGGCTTAATTTCCTCTTCTTGTAATTCTTGGAGCTGTCCAGTTAGACTTTTAATATTATTTCTTTTTTACTGTAAGTATGTATTGACAAAAGTTTCCCTCTGAGTACTGCTTTCTCTGCATCCCTTAAGTTTTGGCATAGCGTGCATTAATTTTCATTTGACTCAAGGAAATTGTGAATTACCATCGATAATTCAATTGTGAGGTTAATTTCCTTATAAGGGACCTGTGTTACACAGGTTGCTAATTCAAACTCACCAGCTGCTCCATAGACCAAGACAAGGTTGGCTCCTCCCATAAAGATTTAGTCTTGGAAACACTAAATTAGTATCATCTTCCTACTGTTTTCCTATCTGTGATAGCTCCTTCTACCTTCCTGGTTTAATTAGGAATAGAAAATTCAGATCTTGTTTTGCAAGCTTCAGTCTCTCTTAAAACACACAAGAGAACACGCTGTCGCAGCAGCCTCCACCACTCGGGACGGATAATGTATCCTCTTGTTTCTGTAGTCATGCTTGTTTAGTTGAAGACCTCTACCTGTGAGCCACTTTGGGGGCTGAATATTCCTCCTGCTTCTGCCCAGGATTTCCTTCTCTGCTTCGAGGGGTTACTTAGATTTATTTGAGCTGGCATTCAGGGGAAACTTACTTACATTTCAGAAGGCGGAGGCGCTGGCGTTCCCCAGAAGAACCATCAGGAGATTTGTCTTAATTCTTTCAGAACTTTTGTGGCCTGTGTTAGAAACAAATCCACAGAAACTCATGTATAAGAGAGAGCTTTAAGTACACTTCAAGAAAACATCCCTACCCAGTGCTGCCCAAGTCCACAAGTCCAACATTAGCACATATGTCCGACACCAATCCACAAAGTCCTCCATCTCACAAAACACACACTATGATGCCAACTGCAGGAGGAAAGCCGAATCAGTAAACGTGTAAGCATCTCAGCACTGGCAGAGTTCTCCACATGGCTGCTCCAGCACCCACGGCTGCATCGGGGTAGGTCCATGCAGTTTCCTCTTGGGGATGTGTTGCAGGAAGTGAGCCTTGCCAGCTGAAGCAGGGGACTGGCTAAGGCAACTGCATGCTGGTCTGACCATCACAAAGCAAGAGACCAGAGAACTAGATAGGCGAGGTTCACTGAGCCATTTATCTCTCCGCCCTTCAATTAACTCCACATGTGTTTATCGGCCAATTTGGCGCAATAAACTAGCTACCTCATGGCCCTTTGATGGTTTAGGGAAGAGTGCCTATTTACTTAGGGGACCAATTTCCTGAGTCCACTGTATGGAACCTTCTTTAGGACATCCTATCAATTCAGCAGCAGGTTGGGGAGGGTAGTCACATTTTTTAATTGACCCCCAGGAAAGTTTGGTTGGTAGCAAGCCCTCACCATAGTATGTTGACTGTGGGTATGACTTAGGATATCCAGTTTGTGCCACAAAGCAGTAGCAGTTCATCCTAAGTGCATAATGTAACACGGAGCAGGTGGACCCAGACCGATCACCAGGGAGATCTGTGCTGTTGATTTCAGAGGCACGAGCTATAGGGTGGGTGTACAGGGAGGCAGACAGAGTTCTGCTTATGGGTACAGGATCCAGTGCAAGGGCTGTTTGCAGTTCTCAGTAGACTGGCAACCGACAGTCTCTGGGTGGCAGTGATGCTGGCACACTTCAAACAGACCCTGAGAGAGGTCTGCTTGTTGATTTAAACCAAAAGCTTGTTGTCTTGCCTGTATACTTAGGAGCTGTGGTGGTTAGGCAAATAGACTCTTGTTCTGGGCTTTCTACCCCAGTTCACAACACGTGGCAGCCCATGTAGCTGGAGGAGATACAGGGTTGGTTATAGCAGTGATTTACCTACTGTATACAACTCAATGATTTGTGGATTCTTACTTGTCTTCAGTTTCCCCACTGCCTTGTGCCATTCCCAGTTCAGAGTCTTTCAAAGCTGAGCACCATTTCCTTTTATTTCTTGTTGTGTTTGTGGGGTATTGTCAGAATGAGAATGATAGGTCTGTGCCACCACCTTCCCAGAATTGGAACGTTTCTTGAAGTAAAAAAATGAGTCTTCGGGGAGGGAGGGGAAAAAATGAGGAGCTGATGCCAGGGGCTCAAGTGGAAAGCAGATGTTTTGAGAATGATGATGGCAGCAAATGTGCAAATATGCTTGACACAGTGGATGTATGTATGGATTGTGATAAGTGTTGTATGAGCCCCCAATAAAATGGTTTTAAAAAACCCCCACCAAAAATGAGTCTTTTACTTTTAATTTTGTTTAAACAGGTATATTTGTGTACATAAAAAGTTTGTCTTAGGCATCAGACAGTGTAAGATATGAGAAAATAATTTATAAATTAACAAGGGTTCATGGGGGAGGGAGGGGAAAATGAGGTGATGCCAGGGGCTTAAGTGGAGAGCAAATGTTTTGAGAATGATGAGGGCAACGGATGTACAAATGTGTTTTACACAATTGATATATATATGGATTGTGATAAGAGTTCTATGAGCCCCTAATGGTTTTTAAAAATAAAGCATTTGATCAAGTGAAAAAAAAAAAAAGTTTGTCAAAGGAACATTTCTAACACAAGGGAATAGAACCCTATAAGTGGCCGACTAAATCTGATGATATCCCAAAAGAAGAACCTCAGCTTTGGTTATCAAAAGAAGACATGGACTGGCTCTCGTTATTCAAAGAAGAAAATTCTTATTTCCAAAAAATTGTGAGGGTTCTTGAATATATTTTGGGCCCCACTTATCTAGTAGTTCTGAACTTGCCTCACTGTATGCTCAGGAAATAAACACCTGTACCTTAGTAGGGCACTTGGTGGCACTTTAGTCTTTTGATTTCTCCTAAATTTTAGTGAGCGTTCTAGAGCTGTTATTTTCCTGCTGTTTTGACGCCCTCCTCTCTGACAGCTTTTGTGTTTTGCTTGTTTTTCTCACTTAAGGAGAATTATAATTTGTCTTGCCAGAAGAAAAAGATGTTGTCATTTTAAACCACATCTTAATATTTTGAATATATCGTTCAATGATATAAGTGCATTTTATAGTTTGGACCATTTATATTCTTGATTAATTATGGTATGACATAATTATGACCTAACAATTTTTTTTGTATGTCTGTTTTTAAATAGGTTGTTTCTGACAGACAAACGCCAAAAAAAGATGAAAGTCTTGTATCCAAAGCAATGGAGTATATGTTCGGCTGGTAGTACAGTGAAAGCTAAGCTCAGCTTTATAAGAAGAAGGCTGCTACACACTACACTAAAGCAGCAGCATACTGCCAGTTTCTCTCGGTTAGTTATATAACCACTCTGGTCAATGTTGGGATGTGATCTCATACTTGTTTTAGAAGCTAAAGGGAATAGCATATCTGTAGCTGGCACTTTAAAAGATGCTTGAGATATGTTTTTAAGAAACTGAAGATCTCTGTAAATAGTATTTTGTGCTTTCTGTGATAGTGCATGCGTAAGCACAGCAAGTCAGCATTGATTACTGTAAATTACACGATTGCATCTTTCCTGAGGCTTCTCGGTCTCCATGAGAACTGGCGATGAATTTCATGAAGTGGAACTGCACAGCTGCTTCTACCAAGACACAACATTGCAATTAGCAGTTTGAATTATGGACTTTTAATAGCATTTAATATTTTCATTATCTGTGCTTATATGTGTCCTTTCTATTGTGAATTGTCATCTTTTAGTGTTTGAAAATGGAAACAGTCTTTTTAAAATTTCACTAAAGTACTCAAGTTTCTTGATAATAAACTTTGTTAATTTTATGCACTGAACATTTTTGAAAGAGTGATTTATTGTTTCTCTGAAAAGTTAGTTTTTTCCCCATGTTTTCATGCTTTTGTTCTCTGTATTTTAAATTGTTGGCATCTAGAGCTTGATCAGATTCAGGTTTGACTGTATTGACAAGACTAGGTGTTCTTCCACCAAGGATCCATGATGTAATTGGGGCTGCAAAAGGGTGCTCTTTGAATTTCATTATTTTCTATTTCAGGGTTTTTTTTTTAATAAAAAGACACGTCCTCTTCTGTAGTATATATGTAGCTAAAAGTATAATTCAGAAAAAGCAGAGTATGTATTTAATGACCAGTTTTCAAGATAAAGGATTCATTTTCATTCTCTGAAGGTGACTTCTGAATGAATTGTGTTTAATTATGAACTCTTAGAATTTAGATGGTTTCAGTTTATTGTAATGATTAATCACTGATGCTCAAATCTTCAATCATTGGCTCCCAGGTCCTTTTGGTCTTTGATCATTTCTTTAACATTTTCTATGATAAGATAATTTAGGGTCATCTTATATTTTCTGTCCTATAACAGAGCATCCATTTCTTTTCTTTCTCAAGCTTTGCCCCTTTTGGGGGAAAATAGCTTTTCAGTAATGTCTTTTGGGTGCTTGGAGTTCCTGAGTTGTTACATGTTATGTATTTTATGAGTTCAGACTATTTGATCTAAATTCATTAATGTTTATTTTATTTTCAAATAACATTGTCTTCATTATTATATTCTTATCTCCTAGAATTTTGTTTTTTAAAGAGAAAAAATGTCATTATAAGCATTTACTTTATCTCTCATACATCAGTATCAGAATAGCGATGCTAAACTGTTAGTTTGTATAATTTTGATGAATAAATGCTTTCAACTGTTTTTCCTATCTCCCCTACCTTGCATTTTTTGTTATATATTCACATTGTCTGAGTGTTTTACCATTATTAAAATACTATCCCTTTTTACTTAAAAAATGTTTTACTTATTTGTACAAGTATACATTTATTGTTCAACAGCTATTGTATGGAAGTGCTCGTATTGATTGCTGAAACTCATTTTAAAATACATTCCCCAGGAAATGCTTAATGGACACAATATAAGGGTTTTTAAAAAAAAATTCCATGGAAAAGCCCATTATCTTTTAATTTCATCAATTTCATTTTCCACAAACTTTTTGTATTTCTTGAATTTTTTTACATTGGGTAAATTTTTTCCCTTACATATCTCTTTATGTAATTCCATTTTTTTTTCTTTTTGTGGGAGGTAGTGTTATCATAGAAAAACCTAGAAATAATTTAATTTTCCTTATGAGTTACTTGCTAATTTTACTTAGATGCAAAAGTAAAATTTAAAATTTAGTAATTTATTTCTAAACTATGTTATGGTCTAGACACTACAGTGTTGCACCTGAAAATTTTACTGAGACTCTTAGTACTATGATTATTCAGATCTAAAAGCTCTTCATATGTCACTGAAAATCTTTATTTACTTTAAATTTCAGGAATGTTTTCTTGAATTATTTTCACTGCTCTGCTTTACAGTTTTAGTTTTTTTTTTTCTTCAGGAGCTCCTGTATTTCACATATTGAATCTTTTTTATCCATCTCCAATATTTGTCCCATTATCTTGAATACATTTACATACACACCACACACACACACACACACACACACACACACACACACACACACACACACACACCATTTTCTGAGGACACAAACCAGATATACAATTCATTATTTCAGTCATATCAAGAAGTGATATACATTTACTAACACAATTGGTTTCAGAACCTTTTTTCCTTCTTGCATTCTTTGCTATTAGCTCTCCATTTTCCTCAGCCTCCCCTGCTGTACACCCCAGGTGAATCTGTAGATTCACCTCTCTTGGGTTTCACATACTGAAAATCCTAGAAAAATACATAACGAGGAGTCAAGAAGGTTGCCAACAATATCAAAATACAACAGAGATAAACCCAGTTCAAAAGAAAACAGAAATGTTAAAAATAAAGGCAAGTCCAATGTGTCAAAACAGATGAAATGGCAAGGCACTGGATTTTGACTTGGTTCCACCAGACACACTCCACTTGCCAATGTGTGCTGTACAACAGCAGGGCCCTTCACGTATCTGGTCCATGTTCAGAGGGATTTGGCTGGAGGTTTCATCCACATGTATTTCCCCTTCACTGTTTTCTTTTTTTTTTTTTTAACTGTTAATACTGTTTGATGTGTCAAAAAGGATCAAGTCAACTGTTACATTTTAGCCATCCAAATCAGATGTTTTATTTTAACCTAGAATCTGTACTCGCATAACCAGGCTATTCACATCCCTTGATAGTGGCCAGAGGGAAATTACCAGAGGCTTACCTAGAAACACCTTTCTTTTTATTTTAAAATTTATTTTACATATTTATTTTATTGTATGTGTATCACCATTCCACACTCATGGACTTGTCTTTTTTTAAAAAAACATTAGGGGCTCATACAACTATTATCGCAATCCATACACACATC